GCCTCCCAGAGAGCTAGGATTACAGGTGTGAGCCACCGCGCCCGGCCCTGAAGCAGGTTTTTAAAATTATAGTCACAAATTCTAGAAAAGAAATGAGATGAAAGTTTATATCAAAAGATAATTAAATAGGAAGAAGAGTACATTTCTGAAAATTCATCTACTAAGAGTTACTATGCTGGAGAACAATGACAGCATGATAGAATTTCTGGGCACATTTGAAAAGGGTTTCCAAGCATCACAAACTCAAGTTGTAGTTTGTTCCAGTAACAATAGCATGATGATCACTCTCAGGAGAGTGGCTTTTCTGTCATAGAAGACCCCAGGAAAGTAGAATGAAATCTTGAAAGGCTCCCGCAAAATCCATTTAGGATACTGAGAATGGAATTTGATTTATGAATCCTCTCTTCATTATTCCAGAGTTCCCATAAATTGGGAAGAGAATCCAGTGAGACTGGTAAACTATTTCAATACCTCTTTAATATCACTCTGAATTTATACAATAGTGTAACTAATTACTGTGGATGTAAGATGTGCAATGGTTCTTTATTCTCTCCACCATCGTTAAGACAGGGGCAGAAGTAGGGATAAAGTTTCTCTGTGAAAGTGCTACTGAAGGTATAAATGTGGATCATGGTTTTAGCATTGTAGAAGGACACTTGCCCTCCTTCATAATCCAAGTATATGCCCACCCTATTGAGTTTGTCCATCAGTTTCAGACTACAAGAAGGCAAATCCAGAGCCTTTAGATCAGTTTGGTTCCTCAGTCTTAAAAGCCAGAATCCTTGCTCAGGAGTTAGAGGAGAGCTGCCCTTCCGAATGATGGATTCTCTGACAACTCCGAGGGTCCATTTTGTCTTCTTTGCTACTTCTACTTCCCAATACCACTTTCCAGATGTGAATCCTTTTGAGCCCAGCACAGCCACACTTGAGTCAAACCTCTCTGGATCATCGGGCAACACCTGCTTAACGTCACCATGCCACACACTGGTTCGGTTTTTGGAGAGCACCAAATTTGGGTGAGCTGTTTTAGGGTCCAGAGTTAGTGGAGATAAGCCTAGTAAGAAAGTAAGAGAAAGTAGGGCACGGGAGAAAAGGGGGTGAATGCGAATTCCCATAGTAAAAGACAGTTATTTACATAGACACTAGTGCTTTATTTCCTCGCACACATATACTCTTAGGCAGGCAATTACTTACATACTTTTTATTGTTTGGGTATCCATGTTGTTATGTTCTAGACTTTTTTATAGTTAGGGTAAAAATCAGGCTTTACTCTGAAGTAATTTATGCTCTATTAAATGAATCGACACAAATAATGTAAATCTATACTTTAGAAACTTTCATAGAAATCTGACTAATTTTATGTCAGTTGAATCTAATAATTACAAAATCAGGGTTGTACTTTGTAGTCTTTGGTTTTTTTGCGGGGGAGGTTTGAGACAGAGTCTCACTCTGTTGCCCGGGCTAGAGTGCCCTGGCATCAGCCTAGCTCACAGCAACCCCAAATTCCTGGGCTCAAGCGATCCTCATGCCTCAGCCTCCCGAGTAGCTGGGACTACAGGCATGCACCACCATGCCCGGCTAATTTTTTCTATTTTTAATAGAGAGGGGGTCTCACTCTTGCTCAAGCTGGTCTCCAACTCCTGAGCTCAAGCAATCCTCCTCCTTCAGCCTCCCAGAGTGGTAGGATTACAGGCGTAAGCCACCGCCTCCGGCCAGGAACATAAAAACTTAATGCCCTTATTATGTACATTTGTTAAAATTAGTGGTTTTCTTCTGAAGCACTGAAGATCTAAACGATCTCCTAATATGTTATACTCTATGATATGAACATCAAGCACAAGAGGGCCTGTAAAAAGACCCTATGTACATACAAAGGAGTATGTACAGAAACCTCCTTCTGTAGGGCATAGAAGCCCCATGGATTTATATAGGTGATTTAGCAAAACAGAGTAAAATTTTGGCTACTGCCACATTTGATAGACCAGTCAAACAAAATCATAGGCTGAGGAGTAATTCTGATATAAAACTCTTATCTATTTACCAGTACAAAGTTATAAATTCTTAGGTCATGGCACCAGAAGAAATTCAGGTATACCAACTAGCCTCCTTTTGGCTAAACTTTACCCTTTCCCCTGTCCTAGACTCTAAAGAACTAATTAGGGCCACAGAAGAGGTTCCACAGATAAAACATAGATTAAGAGCCCCAGGAACCAATAGTTATTACCCACTGATACTGATACCTGGAGAGACAGTGGACTGCATTTCCCTCCACTTCATGTACTGGATGGGACCTTTGAACTGGCCCAGGTTCAGCTTTCTGGAGATGAGCTCTCTGGGTGCCAATGACCTCATTCCTTGCTCCAAGCTGGAGGGGACATAAATCATTTATCCTCAGACATCCTCCAGGGACTGAAGGAAGGATATTAAGAATACCATAGGTGAGGTTGCTGTGAGCTAGGATGACGCCACGGCACTCTAGCCCGGGCAACACAGTGAGACTCTGTCTCAAAAAAAAAGAATACCATAGGGAAACACTTACCTATCCAACAAAGTTGTGATGTCCTAGAAGAGGAAAGGGGAAATAGAGATATCAGATGCCTGTTCATCAACTCCAGAAATTTCTCTAGTGATACTGCCCATCACTAGAATTTGTGCAGATAGTCCCCAACCCATCTCTTTCATCCTTAATATGCCTTTACTAATCTGCATCCCTGATCTAACCCAGGATAAACTGGCCTTACCTTGTCCTGATTTTCTATAGTTCCCTTCTACAGGGAACAAGAGAGAAGCTAATAAGACAATAATTAAGGTTAAGCTATTTTTACCTATACTTTCAAATGTCTCAGAAGAAAAACACAGTAGATATTCCAGTCCTAAGGCCGCTTTTCCTTTCTCTAGCTAATTAAGCTTCTGAGTGCTGAAGTGGTAACCAATGCCTCTTCAGAAGTGAAGCTTCAGATAGCAAAGATTGGCAAACAGCTTTTCGGACAGATCAATTTAATGATCGCTGAGAGCCAGTTGAAGGTACAACTAAGGCTACAACATATTTATTTTTGAGAAATAAAGCTTTGAAGTTCTTTATGGAAAAATATTAAAATATTAATGCTTATTATTATTGAGATTTTTATCTTGTTTACAAGACGGATGAAAGTAAAGCTTTCTGCTGAGCATAAAGCTAAAGTAGCCTCCTGTTTTTCTCCCAGAAAATCTTAAAAGCACTATAGCAGTCTTGTTTCGTTTTTTTCCCTGGCAGTGAAAAGCCATTTCTGTATCCTCTTCCCCCGCTGAGTGTACCCATAATCATACTGGTATGGTGTCTCACTTTGAGAAAGTCGAAGGAGTTCTGCTGTTCCATCCGTGTCTGAATGCTCACCAACATGTCCTTGGCTAGGAGACCCTGCTCCTCAAGCTTGTTCATATTCAGCTCCATCTCTTCATTCAAGGCTTTCCCCTCTTCCCGGAGCTCATTCAAAATGGCCTTTTCTTTGTTGTGCAGGAACTGATGCAGCTTTAGAAACTCCAAGGATACATGTTGCTGCAGATGTAGCTTGTCTTCCTGGAAACCTCCATGATTATCAGCATGGTTATTACCAAGACTAGTATTTGAGGATGTGGGCCCACACCACCAACACTCACTCTCTTAGGAAATATCACAGAAAAATGCATACAAATGGCTGCTGAATATCAACATTCAACCACACTAACATAAGCCCTTTGGGAAACTTATTGCCTCTTTCCCAACTTGTTTAATAGTTCAGAGTTCAGGATGAAATAATTGAAAATGGTTTCTAGGCTTCTACTGCAGTACCAAGGCAGTTAACCAGTGCCATATAAATAAGACTGTGGAGGTAAATCAAACATTCTAGAACGAATAATAATACCCCTCTACATTGGTAAGCCAATATCTACCAAGTGGTACTGTTAGACTGGGCCATTGGAAGGCTGGAAGAACTGTCCTTATCTAGAAATCAGAACTGGAGCAGGGAGGTGCCATTCCTACTGCCAGGACCATGCAGAAGAAGCAGAAGATGAGCAGTGTTGGAAGCACTGAAATGGATAATGTAGCTCTCTTCTTGGGTAACCTCAGCATCCTCATGGGTGAAACATTTGTCATCCTGACTTCTGTTCCTCATCCTCCTCATTCTCATTTCTGGTGATTTCTACCTATATCTACTCATTCCCATAGTCACACCTAGGATTTTATTCTCCCCAGCAATTGCATCAGCTCCAGAATAACTTGTTATGTTCTAGGCTCACTCAGGTACCCCTACTACAATTATTGGATCTCATTGAAACCTACTATTCATTGACCCCTCCATTTCTATTTATAAACTTCTATCTTTTATCTTCATGTACCCTCTTATCCAGCTTAGATTCTATGGTCCATAATTATTATTGCACTTTTTTTTTGGAGATAGAGTCTTACTCTGTCACCCCGGCTAAAATGCAGTGGGGTCATCATAGCTCACTGCAACCTCAAACTCAAACTGGGCTCAAGTAATCCTCCTTTCTGAGCCTCCTGAGTAGCTGGGACTACAGGCATTCACTACCACCTCCAGGTAATTTAATTTTTCTATTTTTTTGTAGAGACAGCATCTCGCTCTTACTCAGGCTGGTCTTGAACTCCTGAGCTCAAGCAATCTCCCACCTCGGCCTCCCAGAATGCTAGGATTACAAGCATGAGCCTCCATGCCCAGCCTATTATTGCACACTTAAAATAATCTTAACTCCCTCTCCTCTAGCTCACACTTTTTCAGTGTGAGCTTTTACCTTTTGCACCGTTATTTCTCAGTCTTATTTGTTGGCTCTACTTCCTCTAACCAAGCTCTAAGTCTTAGACTTACTTGATATTCTGTCCTGGGCTCTTTCCCCTTCTAATTCTACACTTTCTTTCTAGGCAATATCCTTTCCTCCTATGGCTTTAAATATCATCTAATGCTGACTTCTTTTTTTAAAAATTTTAATAGTTATTTTCTTTTTTAGTTTTTATTTCTTTTTTTTT